AGAAACCTTCTGAACATCTTGTTGGAGGTGATTATTCCAGACCAAAGCAGTGGAGCCAGAGCTTTAGGAGGATGTTGCTGTCTGGCTAATCACCACTGCCCCCGATGCAAGCACCAGTTAGCCTCGAGCTAGCCTAGAGCCAGGCTCATATCTACCTCTAGGTCTACCGGACGGGAGTAGCCAGCTAACTAGCTACTTGCTATCAGCTACCGTTAGCGGTTTTTCACCATTGTCCGTGGCCTGCACCACTCACCAGCCAGCTCTAGTCTGGACTATTATTCGGCCAGTCTGCACAGCGCGTTATCAGTTTTCTGCCGGAATCACTGAATCACTGGACCTTTAACTCCGGATTCATCGCTACCAGCTAGCTGCAACAAAATAGACGTTGTGGTCTGGCTAATCATCCTGAGCTAGGCCCATCTCCCGGCTATCTACCTCTGTCAACCGGACGGGACCACCTAGTGTTGACACGGAGCCCCGCCGATCCTACACGACTGGTCTGCCGACGAAATCGTCTGATGTGGTTACGACGTCGACCACGAAGATTCCATCTGCTAGCCCCGGCCCGCTAGCACACGCTAGCCATGGCCTCTTCCTCGCTAGTGCTTTAGCAGCCTCCGAACTATCCTATTGCTGTTCACCGGACCTTATGATAACTCAGCTATACAGCTGATGTCTGCTGGACTGTTCCTTTTTACGGTACTGCATCCTGTTTATGTTTAGCCTCAGCCCAAACTGTGTTGTCATTACCAGCTGTTGTCTTAGCTCTCTCAAATTACACCTGTGATTGCTTTATGCCTCTCTCCCTTGTCAACATGGTTAGCTTATTGTTTTTTCGGTTATTTCTAATTGTACTATTTCACTGTAGATCCCCCAGCCCAGCTAAACCTGCCTTAGATAGCTCCTTTGTCCCACACGCGGAGACCGACTCAATTGGTGCCTCCAGTGATGCTATCTCTTTCATTGTTACCCAACGCTTAGGTTTACCTCCACTTTACTCATATCCTTCCATATCCTTGTCTGTACATAATGCCCTGAATCTTTTCTACAACGCCCGGAAATCTGCCCCCTTTATTCTATGTACCCAACGCACTAGAAGACCAGCTCTTAAAGCCTTTAGCCGTATCCTTATTCTAGTCCTCCTCTGTTCCTCTGGTGATGTAGAGGCTAACCCAGGCCCTGCAGCCCTCAGTATCACTCCTACTCCCCAGGCGCTATCATTTGCTGACTTCTGTAATCGCAAAAGTCTTGGTTTCTTGCACGTAAATATCAGAAGTCTACTTCCTAAGTTTGAGTTATTCACTGCGTTAGCACACTCCGCCAACCCTGATGTTCTAGCAGTGTCTGAATCCTGGCTTAGGAAGGCCACCAAAAATTCTGAAATTTCCATCCCCAACTATAACATTTTCCGTCTAGATAGAACTGCCAAAGGGGGTGGAGTTGCAATCTACTGTAGAGATAGCCTGCAGAGCTCTATCATACTATCCAGGTCTGTGCCCAAACAGTTTGAGCTTCTACTTCTAAAAATCCACCTTTCCAGAAATAAGTCTCTCACTGTTGCCGCTTGCTACAGACCCCCCTCAGCCCCCAGCTGTGCCCTGGATACCATATGTGAATTGATTGCCCCCCATTTATCCTCAGAGTTCGTACTGCTTGGTGACCTAAATTGGGATATGCTTAATACCCCGGCCATCCTACAATCCAAACTAGATGCCCTCAATCTCACACAAATTATCAACGAACCTACCAGGTACAACCCTAAATCCGTAAACATGGGTACCCTCATAGATATCATCCTGACTAACTTACCCTCTAAATACACCTCAGCTGTCTTCAACCAGGATCTCAGCGATCACTGCCTTATTGCCTGCATCCGTAACGGGTCCGCGGTCAAACGACCACCCCTCATCACTGTCAAACGCTCCCTAAAACACTTTAGCGAGCAGGCCTTCCTAATTGACCTGGCCCAGGTATCCTGGATGGATATAGATCTCATTCTGTCAGTAGAGGATGCCTGGTTGTTCCTTAAAAGTAATTTCCTCTCAATCTTAAATAAACATGCCCCATTCAAAAAATACAGAACTAAGAACAGATATAGCCCCTGGTTCTCCTCAGACTTGACTGCCCTTGACCAGCACAAAAACATCCTGTGGCGTACTGCATTAGCATCAAATAGCCCCCGCGATATGCAACTTTTCAGGGAAGTTAGGAACCAATATACACAAGCAGTCAGGAAAGCAAAGGCAAACTTTTTCAAACAGAAATTTGCATCCTGTAGCACTAACTCCAAAAAGTTTTGGGACACTGTAAAGTCCATGGAGAATAAGAGCACTTCCTCCCAGCTGCCCACTGCACTGAGGCTAGGAAACACTATCACCACCGATAAATCTACAATAATCGAGAATTTCAACAAGCATTTTGCTACGGCTGGCCATGCTTTCCACCTGGCTACCACTACCCCGGCCACCAACTCTGCACCCTCCGCTGCAACTTGCCCATGCCCCCCCCCCGCTTCTCCTTCACACAAATTCAGAGAGCTGATGTTCTGAAAGAGCTGCAAAATCTGGACCCCTATAAATCAGCTGGGCTAGACAATCTGGACCCTTTCTTTCTAAAACTAGCCGCCGAAATTGTCGCAACCCCTATTACTAGTCTGTTCAACCTCTCTTTCATAACGTCTGAGATCCCCAGAGATTGGAAAGCTGCCGCGGTCATCCCCCTCTTCAAAGGGGGTGACACTCTAGATCCAAACTGCTACAGACCTATATCCATCCTGCCCTGCCTTTCGAAAGTATTTGAAAGCCAAGTTAACAAACAGATCACCGACCATTTCGAATACCACCGTACCTTCTCCGCTATGCAATCCGGTTTCCGAGCTGGTCATGGGTGCACTTCAGCCACGCTCAAGGTCCTAAACGATATTATAACCGCAATTGATAATAGACAGTACTGTGCAGCCGTCTTCATCGACCTGGCCAAGGCTTTCGACTCTGTCAACCACCGCATTCTTATTGGCAGACTAAATAGCCTTGGTTTCTAAAAATGACTGCCTCGCCTTGTTCACCAAGTACTTCTCAGATAGAGTTCAGTGTCTGGACCTATGGCAGTCTCTATGGGGGTGCCACAGGGTTAAATTCTTGGGCCGACACTTTTCTCCGTGTATATCAATGATGTCGCTCTTGCTGCTGGTGACTCTCAGATCCACCTCTACGCAGACGACACCATTTTGTATACATCTGGCCCTTCATTGGACACTGTGTTAACAAACCTCCAAACGAGCTTTAATGCCATACAACACTCCTTCAGTAGCCTTCAACTGCTCTTAAACACTAGTAAAACTAAATGCATGCTTTTCAATCGAACGCTGCTGGCACCTGCCCACCCGACTAGAATCACCACTCTCGACGGGTCTGACCTAGAGTATGTGGACAACTACAAATACCTAGGTGTCTGGTTAGACTGTAAACTCTCCTTCCAGACTCACATTAAGAATCTCCAATCCAAAGTTAAATCTAGAATCGGCTTCCTATTTCGCAACAAAGCCTCCTTCACTCATGCTGCCAAACATGCCCTCGTAAAACTGACTATCCTACCGATCCTTGACTTCGGCGATGTCATTTACAAAATAGCCTCCAACACTCTACTCAGCAAATTGGATGTAGTCTATCACAGTGCCATCCGTTTTGTCTCCAAAGCCCCATACACTACCCACCACTGTGACTTGTACGCTCTTGTTGGCTGGTCCTCACTACATGTTCGTCGTCAAACCCACTGGCTCCAGGTCATCTATAAATCACTGCTAGGCAAATCCCTGCCTTATCTTAGCTCATTGGTCACCATAGCAGCACCCACCCGTAGTCTGCGCTCCAGCAGGTATTTCTCACTGGTCATTCCCAAAGCCAACACCTCCTTTGGCCGCCATTCCTTCCAGTTCTCTGCTGCCAATGACTGGAACGAATTGCAAAAATCTCTGAAGCTGGAGACTCTTATCTCCCTCACTAACTTTAAGCATCAGTTGTCAGAGCACCTTACCGATCACTGCACCTGTACACAGCCCATCTGAAATTAGCCCACCCAACTACCTCATCCCTATATTGTTATTTATTTTGCTCTTTTGCACCCCAGTATCTCTATTTGCACATAATCTCTTGCACATCTAGCATTCCAGTGTTAATACTAATTGTAATTATTTTGCACTATAGCCTATTTATTGCCTTACCTCCATAACTTGCTACATTTGCACACACTGTATATATATTTTCTCTTGTATTTTTGACTTTATGTTTTTTTTTTACCCCATATGTAACTCTGTGTTCATGTTTTTATCACACTGCTTTGCTTTATCTTGGCCAGGTCGCAGTTGTAAATGAGAACTTGTTCTCAACTGGCTTCCCTGGTTAAATAAAGGTGAAAAAAAAAAAAAAATAGGAGGAGGGCAGCCTCCCTCGTCTGTGTGGAGCCCAGATAGTGGCTCAGAAACATCTCTCTTAATTGGCTGTCAGACTGAAGTTGGACTGAAGCCATTATAAGGAAAGAAGAGTCATACTTCCCATGCTTCACATTACAATGTGTGACTGGCTGGATGGATGAAGGACTCAATACTTTTGTGACACTCACACCAGCAGGGGGATTGCTTCTGGATATATGGTGTGGATTTATGGCTGTGTGAATGTGTGTGTGTGTGTGTGTGTGTGTGTGGCTGTGTGTATGCGTGTATGTGTATTTGGCTGTGTGTGTGTGTGTGTGGCTGTGTGTGTGTGGCTGTGTGTGTGTGTGTGTGTGTGTGTGGCTGTGTGTTTGTGTGTGTGTGTGTGTGTGGCTGTGTGTGTGTGGCTGTGTGTGTGTGTGTGTGTGTGTGTGTGTGTGTGTGTGTGTGTGTGTGTGTGTGTGTGTGTGTGTGTGGCTGTGTGTGTGTGGCTGTGTGTGTGTGTGTGTGTGTGTGTGTGTGTGTGGCTGTGTGTTTGTGCGTGTACATGCGTATGAATGTATGTGTGTGTCCCCTACCTTTCCTCTCTGTTCTGCCCCACACACACTCGTCCTCCATGGCGCGGGGTGGGGTTGCTGCAGGACCTCTGTCGGACCTGGAAGCCAATGCCACAGCTGGTACTGCAGGGGACCCACAGAGTCCAGGGGCTCCACACACCGTTCCTATGGAGACACCACAGACCACAGGGTTACACACACACACACATAGAGAGAGAGGGGTGGAGAAAGACAGAACGCTTGCTATTGAGTAAATGTTTCTGCTATCGAATAAAATACACACTGTATTTCATTTATTAACTTAAACATGAACTGTAAGCTTTTAGAGTATGTGTGAGCAAAGGGCAGATGGATTGATTGACAAATACCAATGGAAAGACAGGCAGAACAATAGACAGTCAGACAGACAGTCAGACAGACAGACAGAACATAGACAGAACAATAGACAGTCAGACAGACAGTCAGACAGACAGACAGACAGACAGACTGTATACCTGGAGCAGTTGGCGACCTCCACGCTGAGTCCGTGACAGGACTGACCCCCACACTGGGGTGTGGGGTTATCACAAGGCCTGGTCCGACACAGACAGGAACCAGCACTGCCCCCATCAGTCTGGCTACAGGCCCCCCAGCCTGACCACTGCCCAAACCCTCCATCCACTGTCACTTTACGCACCTGGGGAGATCACAGGGAGAAAATACTTCAAACTAGGGTGGAGGTCAACAGAAAGGAATGATGGCTATAGGGACAGAGAGAATGAGAGAGATGGAAATCTGATGCACCATGGGTAATACACAGTGAAGGAGTTGGAATAGGGGGAGGAGGTTGGGGAGGATGGCAGGAACAGATAGGGAGAGAGATAAATGTGCACCATCAGGGACGATGACTAAAACTGGTATTCATGTGTAATCACTAGAGATATGGAGATATGGATCTATGGAGATATGGATATATAGAGATATGGAGATATGGATCTATGGAGATATAGAGATATGGCGATATAGAGATATGGATATATAGAGATATGGAGATATGGATCTATGGAGATATAGAGATATGCAGACATAGAGATATGGATATATAGAGATATGGAGATATGGATATATAGAGATATGGAGATATGGAGATATAGAGATATGTAGATATAGAGATATAGAGAGATAGAGATATGTAGATATGTAGATATAGAGATATGTAGATATGTAGATATGTATATATAGAGATATGGAGATATGGAGATATAGAGATATGGAGAGATAGATATATGTAGATATAGAGATATGTAGATATGTAGATATAGAGATATGGAGATATGGATATATAGAGATATGGAGATATGGAGATATAGAGATATGTAGATATAGAGATATAGAGATATGGACACCATGAGATGTATCCAAAGGAGGAGATATATAAATAAAAAGATAGTATGATTTTTTAAATTATAATTCACAAGGGACAAAACACATAGTTCAGCTGAGTAAAACATAAGGGAAATGAATGATGAGAGAAAAAAAACGCTCTTATCCAGAGCGATTTACAGTTAGTGAGTGGATACATTTTGAACTGAAACTGAACTGAACTGAAATAAAATCTGCCCTTCTATTATTGGTAATTGAACCCAGTCGACAGTCTAAATTGGAAGACCTTACTATGAGAGAAACAGATTCTCATGAATGGAGAGAGATGATGCAGAGATGGAGAGAGAGCACAGAGAGAGAGAGAGAGAACAGAGGAAGCGAGAGAAAGAGAAAGCGAGAGAGAGAGCGAGAGAGGGAGCAGAGAGAGATCAGAGAGGAAGCAACAGAGAAAGAGAGAGAGAGAAGAAGAGAGAGAGAGAGAAAGAGAGAGAGAGAGAGAGGAAGAGAACGAAAGAAAGAGAGAGGGGGAGCAGAGAAGGAGACCAGAGAGAGGAAGAGAGAGAGAGGGGAGGGAGAGAAAGGGAGAGAGCTATATTGCATCTCTTTTAGCTAAGACGGATAAAGAATAGATGCTAAGGAGATGAAAAGCTATAATATATGCTAATGAGATGAAAGGCTTGAATAGATGCTAATGAGATGAAAGGCTAGAATAGATGCAAATGAGATGAAAGGCCAGAATATATGCTAATGTGATGAAATGCTAGAGTATATGCTAAGGATATAAAAAGCTAGAAGATATGCTAATGTATGAAAGGCTTGAATAGATGCTAATGGTATTAAAGGCTAGAATAGATGCTAATGAAATGAAAGGCTAAATATATGCTAATCGATAAAAGGCTTGAATAGATGCTAATGAATGAAAGGCTTGAATAGACGCTAATGAGATGAAAGGCTTGAATAGAGGGATGGACAAAAGGGTGATATTTTGCTGCCGAGGCGAGGGCTAGATAAAACAATAGTTTGTGGGGGGAAGAAAAGTGTTTTGTATTACATATATACGCTAGGAAACATCACAGCAAGAATAATTGATTATTTCACGGTCTCAGTGGAATTGCATCAGCAGACTTCTCTATCGTTTCTCACACATATTAGAGAAAGTGCAATTTATTCTTGGGTTTGAAATCAGTGTGCTGTAGAGGGGGAGGGAATATGATGCTTCCATTCAATTTCAGTTTCAGTTTGAAATGTTAAAAACATAAGGTGAATAGGATGCTTCCATTTCATTCCAGGTTCAGTTTTTCCATTCGTAGTTTAATTGCCTAAAAAATACATTCGGTGAACATGGTGACTAAGATTTATTTTACTTAACTTAAAACTAAAAAAATACAAACTTCTTAAAACTTTAACAAAAACTTTTTCCCTATTGTTTATTTCCACAGGGAGTCCAGTCCAGCACCAGATGGTTTTGCGAATAGGTTGGTAAAGCTGTCTCCTGTCTACCCACTCACTGAGCTACTACACATTACACCTAGGAACAGGTCCCTATCCAGATCTTAACCACAAAAATATGTCAAATATAAACTTCATCTATCCTCTAAGTTCTCTGAAAGTTCAGTTCCATGGTGAGGAAAACCACTTTAAAATCACAAAAGCCTATTAGGGTAATGTTCATACATCTCCATGCAGTAACATCACAAAAGCATCATTGACTTTGTAGTAATTTTTATCCCCAATATTCCTGTCTCTTCTCTTTTAACAGTTAAAGGGATACTTCAGGATTTTGGCAATGAGGCCCTTTATCTACTTCCCCAGAGTCAGACGAACTCGTGGCAGTGGAGGCTCCTCAAAGGAGGAAGGGGAGGACCATCCTCCTCAGTGAAATTTCATAAAAATAAAAATAGTGAAACATTAAGAAAGTTATCCTTTTTAGATAAAACTATGCTAAATATATTCATATGTCACCAAATAATTGATTAAAATACACTGTTTTGCAGTAACTTCAACAGCACTGTCTGGGGTAGCACCATGGTGTAGCCGGGGGACATCTAGCTTCCATCCTCCTCTGGCTACATTGACTTCAATACAAAACATAGGAGGCTCGTAGGCCTCACCCCCTTCCATAGACATACATGGTAATTGTGACCACTTCCGGAGGACGTCCTCCAATCAAAGCTTTTGCAGTATGAACTGACATGCTGTCCATACAATCAGAGAATTAGGATCAGAGAATGAACCTAGTGTGTTGCCAGGGTAGATTTTCCCCTGTGCCTATGTATTATTGGATATCTGTTACAGTGTATTTGCCAGGGATGAGAGTTTCCCCTGTGCCTGTTTTGTTGATCGCTATTTGAGCGCATTTGTGTGTCTACGAAGGAATAAACTCTGTATTCGGTGATTACCCTCCTGCGCCTGACTCCTTTCCATCACACTCATCACAGTACGGGATGAAAACAATATTATTTTTCAGTCTGATCAACTGTAGGCTACTTATAATAGCAGATGCATACAGCCTATGTGCGCTGTCCATCTGGTCAGGGTAACTAATTGGTAACGGTATGCATTTATAGTCCATTAGTGTGTCAGGAGAAAATGTGAATGTGATGGCTAGTCTGCCAATACGTTTTCAATCCAAAACGATTAACTGGAATTAATCAATCAACATAATATTGATGACAGATGTGAGTATATTTTTTATGAGGGCTACAGTTGCATAGGCCTGCATGATGCAAACATGCATAGAGCAAGCTCAGCCCTGTGAGTTCTATTATCTATCAGTTGTTGTCTATGTGTCTGGGTAGAGGAAATCCCCCTCCTAATCTAGTCTAAATATAATTAATATGAACAAATATAAGGTAGCTGCAGTTTGACAGAGTTGTCATCCCCCCCAGGGCCAGGAGTTTTTTTTCCAGGAGTTTTTTAAAACCACGTGACCTGATTAGGAAAAACTGATCCTATGGTGCCACCAGTCTGCTTGCAGTTGTCAGTTATCGTCAGGTATGTGGATGATCTGGGCTTTATTCAGGAACGTTTCTTGGGCTACTTTGATGTGTCCAGTGGGCGAGATGCGCAGTCTGTGTTTGACTTTATGAATTTTGAGATGTCTGAATTTAACTTCATAGAGAAACTTGTTGTCCAAACCTACGATGGCGCAGCTGTAATGGAATGTATCTGCTATTTGTATTTGCAGCTAAGTCCCCTCCTGTTCCCTGATTAAGAGGTGATGTCCACTCCATTACCATTGTCAACTCTTTCCTGACATGAACTGAAGCCACGTCTCATGTGCCCGCTCATCCACTGGCACATTGAATGTTTCCTCTCCAAGCACTGTGAGTACCCCTATCAATTTTCTCTGATTACTGTATGTAGAGTCAATCACATACACAAACACAATCACATTATTACGCATCAATGGTTTTACTCCTTGCATGGACTAACTCATTCTTAGCTCTTTTGTCTAACTATGTAGTGTGTTGTGTTATTGTTTTTTGTCTTCCCAGTTAAATCCTGTCCTGCACTGAAGCCTCTGAACACCTCAACTCATGCCTCATACCCTCATTCAATCAGTGCTGTGATCCCTTCCCAAAGCTGTGCAACCCTCTCATTCCCATTCCCCATAATATTCTACTATACGTGTCTTTATTAAATGCTTTAGGTTAAAATAATTAGTCTTTGATGATTTCTGAAACACACTTTGTCGTCTCCGTGCGTACCGCGCCTATACCGTGGGTCTCCCATCCTCCTCAATTTTTCAAGTCACCAGCCTTCACTGGACGTGAATACCATTTTTATGTCTCTGCGTGCAGTTTGAAGGAAGTTGCTAACTAGCACTAGCGCAATTGGTAACTAGCATTAGCGCAACGAACGCATGTTAGCATTGGCTCACAAAACGACCTCTAACTTCCTTCGTACTGGACACAGAGACATAAAAATGGGTATCCACGAGTTCATCTGACTCTGGGGAAGTGGGGAAGTAGATAAAGGTCCTCATTGCCAAAATTCAGAAGTATCCCTTTAAGGGTATTTGGACTGCCAGTCGTCAGTGTGTTTTAATAACCATGGCTATGGAAGTCCTACAATAATAACCAAATGACTCACAGTTTGTCTGGGCAACACAGGAATCCATTGTTCTGCTGGCTGACAGGACGTTATTGTAAAAGAGAATCTGTTCTCGTTCTCAATGATTTACCTGGCTAAATAAAGGTTACATAAGCAAACATTACGTTCCCCTCTTGTCTTTGGCAGTTGTCTGACGTCGTCAAAAGGAGGGAAGCAGAGCCAGAGAACAGGCGAGGACACCTGTAATAGTGACAGTGTTTTACACTGTTTTTTAGCTGACTATGATGTCATCAGACGGAGACAGCCAGTGCTCTCTGACCAGTAGAGAGTACTACTTAGGTCTGACGGTGAAAAAGACTGTATGAGTAATGCTTTGGTGTGTGTGCATGTTTGTGAGTGTGCGTGTGAGTGCGTGTGTGTGTGTGAGTGTGTGTGTAGGTGTTTGCCAACAGATACTGTTGGCTGTCTACTAGTACCATATAACCTGTTGAACATGAAACCACATACAAGACTAGGGCAGCAATACAGTCTGTCAGACACACAACAATTACCCTTTCATTTAGTGGTGACGAAGTGAAATCAATCCCCCCAATTGGGAGGGGGAAGAATGAATGGGCGGACTGCTGAGAATGAGGTAATGATCACGAAGACAGTGGAGATTGATTGAGTAAGCACCCCTATTCATTTCAACAGGATTTGCTGGGGAGAAAATTAATTTCCCAGAGGGTGACTGTGTGTGTGTGTGTGTGTGTGTGTGTGGTACAGTGCATTCTGGGTACTCACAGGGCATTGTGTGATGATCTGTTCCCATTGGCTCATGCTGACGCTCTCCTCCAGGGTGGTACACTTCCTTAACACCAAAGTCCCAGCCGCAGTAGGGGTCCCTCGCCCCCACACACCCCCTGACAGAGTGGAGAGAGAATAGTGATTGGTTGATTGATTAATATATTCATTAATGAGAGAGAAGGATAGAGAAGGAGAGAGGAGGAGAGAGGAGGACAGAGAAGGAGAGAGGAGGAGAGAGGAGGACAGAGGAGGAGAGAGAAGGAGAGAGAAGGATAGAGGAGGAGAGAGAAGGAGAGAGGAGGACATAATAATAATATGCCATTTAGCAGACGCTTTTATCCAAAGCAACATACAGTCATGTGTGCATACATTTTTACGTATGGGTGGTCCCGGGGATCGAACCCACTACCCTGGTGTTACAAGCGCCATGCTCTACCAATTGAGCTACAGAGGACCACAGATGGAGAGAGAAGGAGAAAGATGGAGAGAGGAGGAGAGAGATGGAGAGAGGAGGAGAGAGGTGGAGAGAGAAGGACATAATAATAATATGCCATTTAGCAGACGCTTTTATCCAAAGCAACTTACAGTCATGTGTGCATACATTTTTACGTATGGGTGGTCCCGGGGATCGAACCCACTACCCTGGCGTTACAAGCGCCATGCTCTACCAATTGAGCTACAGAGGACCACAGATGGGAGAGAGAGAGAGGAAGAGGAGAGATGAGAGGGAGGAGGAGAGAGGAGAGAGAGAAGGAGATCGATGGAGAGAGGAGGAGGAGAGAAGGAGAGGATGGAGAAGAAGAGGAGGAGGAGAAGAGAGAGAAGTAGAGAGGGGGAAGAGAGGAGGAGAGAGAAGGAAGAGAGAGGAGAAGAGAGAAAGGAGAGAGAAGGAGAGAGTGGGAGAGGAGGAGAGAGGGAGAAGAAGAGAGAAGTGAGAGCGAGAGAAAAGGAGTGGGGTGGGAGAGAGAGGAGGAGAAGGAGAGAGATGGAGAGAGGAGGAGAGAGAAGGAGAGAGATGGAGAGAGGAGGAGAGAGAAGGAGAGAGATGGAGAGAGGAGGAGAGAGGAGGAGAGGAAGGAGAGAGAAGGAAAGAGATGGAGAGAGGAGGAGAGAGAAGAAGAGAGAAGGAGAGAGATGGAGAGAGGAGGAGAGAGAAGGAGAGAGATGTAGAGAGGAGGAGAGAGGAGGAGAGAAGGAGAGAGAAGGAGAGAGGTGGAGAGAGGAGGAGAGGAGGAGAGAGGAGGAGAGAAGGAGAGAGAAGGAGAGAGGTGGAGAGAGGAGGAGAGAGAAGGAGAGAGATGGAGAGAGATGGAGAGAGGAGGAGAGAGAAGGAGAGAGAAGGAGAGAGATGGAGAGAGGAGGAGAGAAGGAGAGAGAAGGAGAGATATGGAGAGAGAAGGAGAGAGAAGGAGAGAGATGGAGAGAGATGGCGAGAGGAGGAGAGAGGGAAGATATAGTACACTGTGACATAATCAGTTGTGAAAAGATTGTTCCAGAGTCATGTTCTGATCTGGAAACCTTACAGGCCAATTATTCAGACGTCTCTCTATGTTAGGCCTTGTTCAGTCAAAATGCCTGAAGCATGTATTTGAATGTCTACATATTTTCTGCTTTAAACAAACTATTTTCACAATACAGATTTGGCAAGGAAGCAGCTTTTTCAGGTCTCTGTTTGGGAGATTTAGAGCACAATAAAGTACCTGATGTCTCTCTTCTGTAATGCGAATAAGAGAGCTGTGTCACGAGACACACAACATGGACTGATCTCTGAGACACAACATGGACTGATCTCTGAGACACAACATGGACTGATCTCTGAGACACAACATGGACTGCTCTCTGAGACACAACATAGACTGATCTCTGAGACACAACATGGACTGATCTCTGAGACACAACATAGAAGGATATCTGAGACACAACAGACTGATCTCTGAGACACAACATAGACTGATCTCTGAGACACAACATAGACTGATCACTGAGACACAACATAGACTGATCTCTGAGACACAACATAGACAGGATATCTGAGACACAACATAGACTGATCACTGAGACACAACATAGACTGATCTCTGAGACACAACATAGACTGATCTCTGAGACACAACATAGACTGATCTCTGAGACACAACATAGACTGATCTCTGACACACAACATAGACTGATCACTGAGACACCACATAGACTGATCTCTGACACACAACATAGACTGATCTCTGACACACAACATAGACTGATCTCTGACACACAACATAGACTGATCTCTGACACACAACATAGACTGATCTCTGACACACAACATAGACTGATCTATGAGACACAACATAGACTGATCTCCGAGACAGACATATAATAATAGCTGGTAATAGCCTAAGAGACTCCCAGTGCTGTGTGAGATATAATAGCAATATATTGTGTACTGTCGCACACGCACACTCACACACACACACACACACACACACACACACACATACAACGTCTGTCAGAAGTGAATAAATAACAATCTATAATTTCTGATGATCTCCTACAGCCCCAGGTGTTAATATGTATCTCCTACAGCCCCAGGTGTTAATATGTATCTCCTACAGCCCCAGGTGTTAATATGTATCTCCTACAGCCCCAGGTGTTAATATGTATCTCCTACAGCCCCAGGTGTTAATATGTATCTCCTACAGCCCCAGGTGTTACCATGTATCTCCTACAGCCCCAGGTGTTAATATGTATCTCTTACAGCCCCAGGTGTTAATATGTATCTCCTACAGCCCCAGGTGTCACCATGTACAGTGGGGAGAACAAGTATTTGATACACTGCCGATTTTGCAGGTTTTCCTACTTACAAAGCATGTAGAGGTCTGTAATTTTTTATCATAGGTACACTTAAACTGTGAGAGACGGAATCTATAACAAAAATCCAGAAAATCACATTGTATGATTTTTAAGTAATTAATTTGCATTTTATTGCATGACATAAGTATGTGATACATCAGAAAAGCAGAACTTAATATTTGGAACAGAAACCTTTGTTTGCAATTACAGAGATCATACGTTTCCTGTAGGTCTTGACCAGGTTTGCACACACTGCAGCAGGGATTTTGGCCCACTCCTCCATTCAGACCTTCTCCAGATCCTTCAGGTTTCGGGGCTGTCGCTGGGCAATACGGACTTTCAGCTCCCTCCAAAGATTCTATTGGGTTCAGGTCTGGAGACTGGCTAGGCCACTCCAGGACCTTGAGATGCTTCTTACGGAGCCACTCCTTAGTTGCCCTGGCTGTGTGTTTCGGGTCGTTGTCTTGCTGGAAGACCCAGCCACAACCCATCTTCAATGCTCTTACTGAGGGAAGGAGGTTGTTGGCCAAGATCTCGCGATACATGGCCCCATCCATCCTCCCCTCAATACGGTGCAGTCGTCCTGTCCCCTTTGCAGAAAAGCATCCCCAAAGAATTATGTTTCCACCTCCATGCTTCATGGTTGGGATGGTGTTCTTGGGGTTGTACTCATCCTTCTTCTTCCTTCAACCACGGCGAGTGGAGTTTAGACCAAAAAGCTCTATTTTTGTCTCATCAGACCACATGACCTTCTCCCATTCCTCCTCTGGATCATCCAGATGGTCAATGGCAAACTTCAGACGGGCCTGGACATGCGCTGGCTTGAGCAGGGGGACCTTGCGTGCGCTGCAGGATTTTAATCCATGACGGCGTAGTGTGTTACTAATGGTTTTCTTTGAGACTGTGGTCCCAGCTCTCTTCAGGTCATTGACCAGGTTCTGCCGTGTAGTTCTGGGCTGATCCCTCACCTTCCTCATGATCATTGATGCCCCACGAGGTGAGTTCTTGCATGGAGCCCCAGACCGAGGGTGATTAACCGTCATCTTGAACTTCTTCCATTTTCTAATAATTGCGCCAACAGTTGTTGCCTTCTCACCAAGCTGCTTGCCTATTATCCTGTAGCCCATCCCAGCCTTGTGCAGGTCTACAATTTTATCCCTGATGTCCTTACACAGCTCTCTGGTCTTGGCCATTGTGGAGAGGTTGGAGTCTGTTTGATTGAGTGTGTGGACAGATGTCTTTTATACAGGTAACGAGTTCAAACAGGTGCAGTTAATGCAGGTAATGAGTGGAGAACAGGAGGGCTTCTTAAAGAAAAACTAACAGGTCTGTGAGAGCCGGAATTCTTATTGGTTGGTAGGTGATCAAATACTTATGTCATGCAATAAAATGCAAATTAATTACTTAAAAATCATACAATGTGATTTTCTGGATTTTTTTTGATTCCATCTCTCACAGTTGAAGTGTACCTATGATAAAAATTACAGACCTCTACATGCTTTGTAAGTAGGAAAACCTGCAAAATCGGCAGTGTATCAAATACTTGTTCTCCCCACTGTATCTTCTACAGCCCCAGGTGTTACCATGTATCTCCTACAGCCCCAGGTGTTAATATGTATCTCCTACAGCCCCAGGTGTTAATATGTATCTCCTACAGCCCCAGGTGTTACCATGTATCTCCTACAGCCCCAGGTGTTACCATGTATCTCCTACAGCCCCAGGTGTTCACCATGTATCTCCTACAGCCCCAGGTGTTAATATGTATCTCCTACAGCCCCAGGTGTTACCATGTATCTCCTACAGCCCCAGGTGTTACCATGTATCTCCTACAGCCCCAGGTGTCACCATGTATCTCCTATAGTCCCAGGTGTTAATATGTATCTCCTATAGCCCCAGGTGTTAATATGTATCTCCTATAGTCCCAGGTGTTAATATGTATCTCCTACAGCCCCAGGTGTTAATATGTATCTCCTATAGTCCCAGGTGTTAATATGTATCTCCTATAGTCCCAGGTGTTAATATGTATATCCTATGCCCCAGGTGTTACCATGTAACTCCTACAGCCCCAGGTGTTAATATGTACCATGTAAAAGACAGTACTGCGCAGCCGTCTTCAGCCACCCAACTACCTCATCCCCATATTGTTATTTATTTTGCTAATTTGCACCCCAGTATCTCTATTTGCACATCATCTTTTGCAC